GAGTTGGAAATAATGGGTTTTGGGTTTGGGATTTATAGGGTTTACTTCCCCCCCTCTTCTTTCTTTATTCTTGCATATCATGTTCAATAAATAATTGTCCATCGTAATATTTTTATTATTTTAAAAAACTAATTTATAGAATTTATTTTAAAATATAAAAATTGAATAGGACCAAAACAAAGGGTGAGAATAAGTTTAGATAAGACAAATTTTGAATATATAAATTAGATTTATTTTATAAAATTAAAGTCTAAATTTAATTTATTATTTATTATAGGCTTGATTTTAAGAAATTTAATTTAATCTATTAACTTATATAAAAATTTATTTTATATTAATGATATTAATCAGACCAATAAATTTAATTTTAAAAAAGTTAATAAATTTAATTTTAAATGTCACTGTGAGTTATTTTTTTAATTTACGTGATAAAAAATAATTTATTTAATATTAATAAAATTTAAATTTTAAAAGAAATATATACATGTGAAGAAAAAATATGTTTTTTATTTTTTGTTAAAAAGACAACTTTTACATATCCATGCATACTGACTTACATTCTCGCACAAGTTATAAGCATTTAATGAAAATTGTAATCTTATTCTTATTCAAAAAATAATTTTTTTAAATATTTCTTATATCTCATTTGAAATATTCTAAATAACTAACTCCTGTTTTGATAAATTAAAATAGTTATACTAACAAACTAAAAAAAATACTCATTTACATGACGTTACCTTATAATATATAATGTCACTCATGTTTAATGATTTATACATTTATGTACAATGATGTATAATAGATATGAATGCTAAAATTTCTATTTGCAATTTCTTAATTTTATATGACCAAATACTTAAAATATTTAAGTGAAATGATAAAAAATATTAATTTTTTTTTATAAACTTATGTATTTATTTATATTATTGATAATATATATATATATATAATTTTTATTATATTATTATATATATAAATAGACAGACTTATTAAATCTAACATATATTTTTAAATAAATAATCTTTTTTAAAGTTTGAATTTAATATTTTTATTAAATAAGTCAAGTCAAATTTTAAAAAATTCACTTTATAGATTCTTATTTAAAATCTGAGTTATTTTTATTCCATACTCAACATGTCTCGTACTTGACTAATTATGAACAAATAAATGAGATTTTTTTTAATTTATTATCAAAAAATATTATCTGTTTATCATGTGATAACATGTAGACATTTTTTCTCAACCTAAGATTTCAACATTTGCAAAAGTTGATCACTGACCGTTTCGTTAAATGTCATGAGCATACCCCGAAATCATCATATTACACGAAACCAAATCTCTTTGAGGCATTTCATGAAACACTCTCCTAGCCTCCTCTAACATTAACATCCCTCACCTCGAGTACATTGTTACAAGAACCACACGAATTTATCTAAGAATATAAAAGTTACAAAAAGAAAAGAAAAACGTTGCCAATGCTAAGATTTTTTTTATTCAATATATGAGAACTTCATTATGGCTGGTTTGTTTAAACTTTAAGTAAGCAATTGTAAAAAAAATGGTTTTTAAAAATTATTTAATTAAAAAACAGATTGAATTAGCTTTTAGAAACAACATATAATTACTTATTTTTTAAAAATAAGTAATTTAGGTAAATGCACTAAATAAAAGGAGAAATCTACTTATTTTATTAAAAAAATTGCTTTTAAAGAAAAATGTTTTGAAAAAGCCCACAAGTATTTTGTAATTTTTTTTTAAAGACAATTGTAAGGTGTGAAGAGTAAAATAATGGTGAAAATAGCATCACCCCTTTCTTATTGGGTTGCTTGACATGATTGTTGCTTCGCCCAAACTCATCTTTTATTGGGCTGAATTCTCTATCTAGTTCTTAGTCTAGATTGATGGGCTCATATGTTATTTCGATAAATTTAAATTAAAATCCTAATTGTTCCATTTTCTCCCGATGGTTATAAAGCACCAACAATGTATGTAATTTCTTACTACATTAATAGTGTGTTTGGAAAAAAAAAAATATTTCCTCCATTTCAGCTGTTTTAATGAAGGAAAAAAAAAATCCGTTTGCTAAATAAGTCGGTTTTGTAAGACAATAGCTTAAATTTACAAATATTTTTTTTTAAAGAAATAAGCTATATATATTTTTTTAATCAAAAAATTTGAAGTATAAAAACTGTTTTTTTGTTGTATTTTAAATATCTCAAAATTACTTTCAAAAAATTTATTTTGATTATAATTTATTATAATAATAATAATAATCGATTATACATATAACAAGAATGATTAAAATAATATAATTTTTATGGCTTTTTAAACACATCCTAAGTGGGTATTTGTGTTACTTCAACTTTTTCAATTTTTTTACCATAATTTTAGGGGTTAGAATTGATTTGAGGAGGTACTCAAACACACATTTACGTGAGTTGTGAGAGAGACCCTTTTCTTTGTCATCGTTAGGTGTGTGATTGACTTTCTCCTACCTCTCCCTATGCATGGCACAAATCCAAATCTCTTCTTCCCATTCTTGTTGAGCTTCTTAGGTAAACAAACTTTTCCCACACTTCCTCATTTCACAAAAAAAAAAACAAAAAAACAAAAAAAAAAACTCCACATCACAAACATTCCAAAATTTGGAAAATTGGTGTTCTTAATTCCTTGAGTAACATGTTGAGATAATCATTGATAGTGAGAAATCCTTTCCTTTTTTCCTTTTGGCGTGTTATTCATATTAATCGTTATCTTTCTTATCTGCCCACAAAGTCACAAACGCGCCCTCTCACAATATATTATTTTGAATAGAATTAAATATCCATAAAATATTATAAAAATGTGTCATAGAAATAAATTTAAATCAATCTATGTCAAGAAAACTTCAAATTGTATATCCTAACAAGTGGGGTTATCCTCACCCAACTCATTGTCTTTTCTTGCAAGTGAAAATGAATGAATTTAATTGAGTAAAGAGATAAAAAGGAGAAATATATGGAGAACTTCTCAATTTTAATTACAAGTGTACTGTTAAATTTTTAAGATTTTTTTTTTTTATCAAGAGCTAGCTAGTACAACACTAAATAAATAAATAAAAAAAGTGTTATTTCTAGTCATTGCAAGTCATATCTAATCTTATATTATGAAGTTGAATCCTTATTTTAGAAGTTGTTTAAAATGAGATTATTTTTAAAAACTATTTTGGAATAAGAGTATCTTTAAAATTTATTCTTACTCGTTTGATTCATATGTCTTGTGCTAATCCTATACGTTGAATTATTATTATTATTATTTTACTTTTTAATTCTTATTTTAAATATATTACTTAACTTTAATTTCAATATTATCTTGATTTAAAAATTAACCTCAAAAAAATTCTTTTTCAATCATTTCTAACAACTCTTCTAATTTTTTATTTTTGTACATTTGATTTTATTGATTGCTTAAATCTTTCAATTTACTATTTTATTTTTATTCCTAGAATTTCAATAATTATAAAACATATTTTATCATAAATTTAGAAGTCTCTATATATGAAAATTAGAATAGTTAACGCAACTGAGAAATTTTATAGGAGTTATTTTTCGATAAGAACATAAGAATCTTTCAATTTTTTATTTTCATCTTTATTTTTAAATTAAATTATAATTTTTTTCTAAAAGAAAGTATCAATACAATATAACTTTTTTTTATCATAACTTTAAAATATAGGATATACATTCATAAATACTTATTACAAAATTTAATTATAATATAATTTATATATTCAAAATATTTATCTATATACATTTTAGTTATATGAAATAATATTTATCTTTTATATTTCACAAACTAAAATACTAATATAATTTATATTTTGAAATATTTATTTATTACAAAATTTTAATTATATAAAATAAGCATTTATATATGTTCTAGATTACATAAATTAAAATATTTATATCTTAAACTGTGCACTGCTTTTTTTTTTTTTTTTTTTCGTTTAAGTGTATCAAGTAAATAATTAGTTGTAGACATGCCCCCTTTACGATCATCACTCACAAAATGAAATATGTGTTCATGTGCTTCAAAATCATGGTTCTGCAAAAAGACAAGTGAAGCTAGAATTCACTCCCACATTCAATAATTGGTTGCCACCCTCTATAAGTGGAAAAGGAATATCATTATTACTGAAGGGCCAGTGATTTCTTAATTATTCAACTTATCTTCCAACTAAAGTTTGAGAAATGTTAAATTTATATTATCTATATGCATCCTATCCAATTCATTTCTATGATTTTTTTTTTGTTTCATGAATTCTTTGATAATTAAGCTCACATTCTTTCAAATACTCTGCATTGTTGTAATATGATCCCAAGAAATTAATATATTGATTATTTCCCTGTGCATGCATGAGATTCCAGTCTCAGAATATATCTGTTTGGTACAATTGCAAATTCATGCAGAGCTATAATTGCACTTTTTTAAAATTGTCATCATCATCATGCTCAGTTTGGATGGAGATGAAAATATATATAATGCAGAATAATAGTAAGGTTCGATCCGAATTTCTATACATATTTTTCTCATTTAATTAATTATTTTTTCTCTCTATATTTATAGTCATAATATTTTGATATTTTGTATAATTCTAAAATCTTATTCCAAATCTTATTATTAAATAACATTTTATATAATACAAATTTAATTATTTCAATAGTTCAACTATACGACATTATATTCACGATTTTACATATCAATATTTATATAATTTTAAAATTATTTAATAATTCATCACATTAATTAATTTTAATATTTAATATGATATTTAAAATGTGTAAATATTTATATAAAATTTGATATACATAATCTTAAATATAATATCACAAAATTCATTTGTTGGATCGGTTAATAGATATATATTATAGAAAAAATTATTGAAGGTATAAAATTTGGTATAAATTTATAGACTTGTACATGGT